CTAATATTGATCATTTGATGGATAATATTGATTGATGGATGGATAATTTTGATTGTTGGATGGATAATATTGATCATTGGATGAATAATATTGGTTGTCGGATGGATAATATTGATCGTTGAATATATAATATTGATTAATGGATGGATAATATTGGTCATCAGATGGAAAATATTGATAGTTGGATAGATAATATTGGTTGTTGGATGAATAATATTATTGGTCCTTGCATGGTTCATATTGTTTGTCGGATGGATTATATTGATTGTTGGATGAATAATATTTGTTGTTGGATTGATAATATTGATTGACGGATAATATCGATCCTTGGATGGATAATATTGGTCGTCAGATGGATAATTTTGATTGTTGGATGGATAATATTGGTCGTCAGATGGATAATGTTGGTTGTCGGATGGATAATATTGATCATTGGATGAATAATATTGTTTGTCAAATGAATATGATCGTTAGATGGATATTGATCGTTGGATGGATAATATTGATCGTATATTTTCATGGTTAATATGGGTTTGGTCAAAATGGGTTAACTTCCTCTTTTTTTATGCTACGCCACGTTTCATGCTTTCTGTTAGCGTTACTTCTACAAATATGAATGACCTTTTTTTTTATTTGTAATTTTTTTTTTACATTTAATAAACTTTAAATTTGTAACCAGTTCAAACAAATACTTCAACACTTGGTTATGAATTTACAATTTTTAGACAAATCTTAGAAAAGAGAGAAACGTCTGTAAGTTGGCTCCTTGGAGTGGTGAATTGTAACGACTGACATGCAGGAGCTCCACAGCTGGAGATAGCTGCTAATTTTGAGCTTCGGCTTGTTGTTGACATCATGAACAAGATTAGCTGCTGACATCAGAGTTCTGAAAACCAACAGAACCGGGCCCTTTGTTCAGCTTCCCACACAAACAGGAGACTCCTGCAGCAACACCCAGGTGAAACCAGATAAACACCGGCCCGCAGCTTTCAGCTGGAATGAATGATGCCTTTTGTGACGAAGCAGCTCAAGACCTAAAAAACTGCAGCCCGACCGGTTCGGCTGCGACGTGAGTCGACGCTGAGTTGAGGCTCGAAGAGATTAGGAGGTTGAGCAGGTGTGATTTCTCAGGGTTTCTGATGACTGAGTGTTCTGTGTCGACCCAACCCGGAGCTCGTCTTATCAGCAGCTCATCTCAGGCCGTCCTTATCGTCTCGGAGAGGACAAAAAGAAGACTTCTGTCCAAAAAACCAGCCTGCTCCGTGTCCAGCTGATACTGGCTTCACATTTATGAAAAGATGTTTTTCAAATAATAATTAACCAGAAAATCAAAGTATCATTTCTGTACTGTTGGTGTTTGATTTAGAGTTTGAAACAAACATGTTTCTTATCAAGCTGATAAAGAAAAACTCACTTGGTTCCTTTTTTAGGAGCGATACCAATCTGTTTATGGACGATCAATAAAAACAGGCGAAACAGTGATTTTATCTGTTCAGAGCTGAAGATTGATTTTGTTTTTTGTTGTTGTTTGCAGGTAAAGATAAAAACAGAATTATTCTTTGGTTCGCTGAAGCTGCAGAGAAGTTTGTTGTTTCAGCCACTTTTTGTTTGAAAAGTTCTATAAACAAAATATTTGTAACTTGAAAAAACAAGAACGCTGAACTTGAGTTGTTAGAAAAAGCTAAAAGTAACTTAAAGCTGGCTACAAGCTAATAAACAGAACACTAGGTAAAAAGTGAAAGCAGCAAAAGGCTCAAAGTAGCAAAGGGAAGCTAGAAGTAGCCAAAGTATAGCTAAAATAAGAAAGACTGATTCCTGTTTTATTTTTAATATTTTCTTTTTTCTAATGTTCCTGTTTTTAACTAAATATTACAACAACAAAAAAATATCTATATAATTTTATTAAAAGCCTAAAATTACTTTAAACTTGTGGTTTTCATTTAAATTTTCCTAAATCACTGAATGAATATCCCCATCTGTACGTGTTGGTGTGTCTGTCTGTCAGCAAAATATCTCATGCACCATTGGACGGACATTAATGAAACTAATAATCTCTGGATCCTCCTCTGCAACTGATCAAATTACGGAGTCACCCCAGTCCAAGATGGCCGCCACAGCTAACTGGCCTTAGCAACACGTGGAGGCTGTAAGCGTTGGGCGCTCGCTCACATCAAGTTTCATAAACATGAATTATTTCCAAACGTTGATAAAAATCTGTTTAAACGTCTGAAATGACAACCTTTCAAACACTCACGACCAGTCTGGAGGTTTGACACGCGCCGCCGTTGACCTGGTACTGGAGCTGAGAGTTGGCCCGCAGGCGGACGTCCATGGCGAGGAGGGGTCAGAGGTCAGCCGGTCTTTGGGTGGAAGGTCCGGTTCTTCTAGGACAGAACTAGAATCATGTCTGGGTTGTCCTCTGAGGGATCATCTAAACTTCTCTGAGAGACGCTGGAGGGACGATAAGAGACGTCAGAAGGTGAGATTCAGCCCAACTCAGAGGTCAAAGGTCAGAGGTCACAGTCTTTAAAGTGCTAGAAGTTTATCGGATTGGATTAAAATCGATTTGAACTGAAAATACTTCAAAATTAATCCGAATGACTTCTAATTTATTAAACAGAAAATAGTTTGACTTTATTTTTGCTCGTTTCATGTCAGAACCTAAATTTAACGCCTGTCGAGCTAAACGTGAACGTTTGATTTTAAAAGTAGTTAAAATGTGAAACAAACTCTTTATCATGAAACATCTTTTTTTTTATCATTAGCGTCTTCAAATATATAAAGTTTAGTAAAGTTTACATCTTGAGAACATTTATTAATTCAGTGAAATGTGTAAAAAGGAAACTGAAGCTTAAAAAAATAACTTTTTTAACTTTGTGTCTAAACCGTAAAACAGAAAATACTCTATAATTATTATTATATCTAGATGTTTTGATACAGTTGATACTTTTTGACTTGTAATTCTTCAGTTGTTGCGTCTTCCCTGCAAACCGAGCACTTACATGAAATTCTTGGAGGAGTTTGTGATGAAACTGTTGCTTTAGGTAAATATTTCAGGTTTAATCTTTAACCCGGTTCTGTGTTTTATCTCTGCGGGTCTCGGTTACATAAACGCACAAAGTGCATTTCTCCTCCTGAAATGTTCAGTTCGTTTCCAGAGCTTTCGACTCAGCACCTGACGGACCAGTTTGACCCATGATGAGGAGCTGCAGAACCAGCTCCTGGAGCCGGAACCGGCAGGGTTCTCGCACACGTTCCTGTAGGACGCCGACGGAAACTTTCAGGGGAGAGAAAGTGAGTTTAACACAAAACCAGGGAGTTACTGAGGCACGAACAGAGAAATGATTCATGGGGATGAACTGGGGCTGGTTCAGAGACGGACCCAGTCTGGGCTCATTTGGGTCTGTTAAAGATCTATATATAAATATATATATACAGATATTTGTGCAGTTTATCAAGAGAAGCACTAAAAGTTTTGTTATAGATGAAACTCAAAGAACTGACATCTATAGTAAGATGTTTGTTTTTCTTGAGTTGTTTGTGGTTTCTTGATGGGTTTCATAAATTGATGCCTCTTTTTTAAATGTATTTTCATATTCATGAATAGCTTCAGCTGTTTGATCAGTTTGGGTTTAATTCAACAACAGAACAACAACATGACCACTTTCAGTGTTGGGAATAAAACCACAAATACAGTTTTCAGTTATCGTTTGACATTTATGCATAAAAAATAATATTTTGATCATTTTAGGGAAGTTGTTATGCTATATTGCTTATACATAAATTCTTCTGGCTCTCAGTTGAAAAAAAAAATCTAAATCGACTTTTACCTGAAAAAGTCATAAAATGTTTGACTACAAATACTTTAATAATAAACCGTCCAATATACTACCACTCGTTATATATGATTTTTTTTAAATATTGATTTTCCTTTTTACAGAAAATAGTAAGTAAACTTACCAAAGAGCTCCACGGATCTGTCATAATAAAACAAAAACATGAATCTGGTTCGGTTTCAGGTCAGTTCTCCTTAAAAAGTCCAGGAGATCCTGCAGATCTGAGTGGAACGTCACCACATGGAGCCAGATAAAGGAGCGAGGAAGCTCCGCCCACCGGAGGGTGTGTCCTAAAACACAAACAGTATAAACCCCGCCCATCAATAGAGTTTATGGCTGTGGGACGTTTCTCCTGTTGAGATAAATCCAGAAGAATGACTCATTCTCATATTTAAACACTGTTCAGTATAATAAAAACAAACTCTGGAGGCTTTAGCAACAATTCCACACGCTTATTTGGTGGTTTTTGTTTATTTCAAAATATAAATAAAACTTGCACCGTACAAGAGCAGAAACATGTGTTTATGTGTTTATAGAAATATGTTTGTTGAACTTCTAAAATGATGAGGAATAAAACATTTTTTCACATCTGATGCTTTCTGACTAAACTACCTTACAAAAACGTACAGAAATGTTTAATACAAAAATAATAAAAGGTTCAAAATCAACTCTATTTAAGGCTTTTGAATAAATCACGAAAGAATGCAAAACAAACAACTAAATTTGATCTCAAATGATTATTATATACAGTGAAACTACTTTGGAATAAAATAAAATAAACTGGTGCATGTAAAAATCACTATGTTAAACCTTAGGTTTAGGTTTAAAAACCACGTTGCATTATAACAATTTTAATCTTATAATATAATTAGATAATAAATATTTTTTAACAAAAATCAAAAGGAAATCATTTAATAGAATACAAAATTATTTATTCATGAAATATAACTTAAAAAGCAGAAACTTGTTAAAAAAAAAACCAACTAAATTGATTAAATTAGGACCTGATACTTCAAGTTTAAAGGTTTTATTTGTTTGTTTTTGTCGCCCCCTGCCGGCTGCAATCTGAAGTAGTGATGGATTCACTTCCAGTAAAAGCGTAGGAAAATTATTATTATTCTGTTTTACGTAAAAACAGTAATGACAGCTGACTCCAGAATTTGATGTAATAAATCACAACTTGTGTAATTTAGCTGTATGTGTCTGTTTTCGTGTTTTTTGATTATATTATGAAATATATTTCGTGTTCTTTTTATTTAAATAAGTATTTATTTTAAGATTTGTTAACGTGTTTCTTTCTTTGCCACTTTGCTCTGATAAAAATGGCGCCCTTCAGCATTAAACACTGGAGTGCAGTCCAACACAAAAAGTTCAACCAGGCTGCGCCCTTCACTGTCGTCGCATAGTTTCCGAGCGGTCTTTGAACGCACCTCCCGTCAGGCTCTGCGTCAACAGCCGCCCCGGTGCGTCTGATTGTTTATTTGGTTGTTTGTTTGTGTTCTTTGGGTTTGATACCGGGGAGGCAGAGCCACAGGTTCGACAGGTGTCCACACGGTGAGTCCGCAGCGGTCATTACCTGTTCATGTCGTCACTTTGAGGCTCCTTTTAGCGAACTAGTTTAGCCAGTTAGCTCCAACTGGATTAAATCATGTACGTGTGCTCCTATTATCGGACTGAGCTGCCTTTTTTCTTCTTCTTCTAAGAAATAATAAACAAAACTCGTTTATTTCCGCGTCCAGACACGTCTGCCGCGCCGCTTTTCATGCATGTTTCATGTGTTTGGTGTCGGATAGCAGCACGTAGCATCTGTTAGCTCACATGCTAACGCGTTGGTTCACCTGAACCAGGTGAGTTTCTGCTTCGTCCGGCAGCACACAGGTGCCATCTTCACCCGGACACATTGATACTTTGTATTAGTTTATGGTAAACATGTCCACATTTAGGTACATCAACTGTACAATGAGATAACCCAGATCAAAGGAAATCTGCCGGTGGCGCATGGTCTCCATGGTAACCACACACCTGTTTCTCTGACTTCCTGACAGGCAGAAAACGACTAAAAAGTAAGCCTCAAACAGTCGCTGTGCAAAAACTTTAAGTCAGATTTTTAAAATGATTAACCTGTGAGTGGCAGAAGACTCTGACGTCATATTTATGTTTCTGCTGTGTTTTATGGAGCAGATATAAGTTTAAAAAGACACTTGTGGCCTATTTTCAAAATAAATTTATTAGAGCTAAAATATATTTGAAGTTTGGGTGTGTACACTGCAGTCTGCGAGGATTTCAGAGGAAACGTCTTTAGCGCACTGGATGAAAAAGACCAAAAATCATTAAGTTTTGATTTGATTTTAAGCTTACCAAATAAAAAATGAAAACAAGCTATATTAAGCCTAAATTCGTTTAAAGTAAGAAAACATCTTTATTTTACAGCTGAGATGACAAATGATGTTTTTGAGTTAAATTAGCCGAGCAGGTAAGCGGCTCGGTAACTCCACATCTGGAAACCTCTGCAGGATAAAACGTTGCGTCGTTACAAACGTCACGTGCGCTGCGTAACTTGAGTGCAGCTTCGCAGCTTGTTCGGGCTCCGTCCTGGCTCGTGGAGTCGAACTGTTTCCACTCCGCTCCCTTCTCAGTCGGTTCTGTTGTTTTGGGTCGACACAGAACTCGTGTGTAGAAACGTGGCCCGAGTAACTGGATCTGTGGTCCACATCCCTCAGCGTGTCCGCTTACCTGGACTGGTTTCCATGGAGACCAGGCTGGTTGGTCTGATGCAGGTGAGGTTTCACCTGGATTTCCTCAGACGTCGGTCCGTGTCGGGTCGTTAAACTTGAAACCGTTTGTGTTCTCGGTGTGTTTTGGCATCACTTTTAGAACTTTGTCAACTTTCTGAACAGTTTCTGTTTTTTGTGCTTGAGTGACTCTGCTCCGATTAACCCGGGGTCGCATTTCCTCTTGCGTCCACATCTTGGGAGGTTGTCTACGGTCCCGTGAACCTTCTGCTTGTGAGCTGAGGTCAGAGGAGCATCAAGCTGATTGGAGATGGTCGTGGCAACATGGATATTAACATATCTCATCAGACGGCTCTTTGGTTCCTCTGCTCCGTGTTCAGTGGTGAACAGAACCGAACCACCCAGAACCCGTTGGTTCTCTTTAAACAGGCTCAACGTTGATGGAAAGCTTGAAGGCACCCGTGACTAATGATGCCAACAAATCTATCCGTACTATTTTTAGCATATCTTTGAAAAGTTTGTGTCGTTAGTCGCTTGGACTGTCATGGACATTACGTGTGTCCCTGAATGCACCACGGAGAGGATCAGACATCCTGAAAGGTCCGATGGGAGTGACAAAGTTTTTAGTCGCAACAGTTTCAGCTCCGATGATTCAGTCTGGGTGTGTTTTTAATTATGTACACAAAGTTTGTCCACCAGCAGGTGAGACGGGTGTTAGTGGCTCGTTGAGGTAACTTTAGGTTCTGTTTGGGATTTCCAGCATCTCAAAGCTGGTTTTAAACGTCAACACTGAGGAATTTATGCTGGATTAGACTTCACAGATGTCAACGAAACCCAAGATGAGCTAAAGCTGATGAATTCAACAAACCAAACTGTTGGAAACACCTAAAGTACTTCTGATGCCACCGCAGCGCCTTTAGCTTTGTTTTGAGACAAAAAAAATAAATCTTAATCCTGGTGAGATTAGAGGATTCACAGGCACAGGGTGATGTACTGAAACAAAATGCTAGAAGGCTAAAGTAGCAAAACATCAGCTAAAAGTTGCAAAATGCCAGGTGAAAGTTAAATTGAGCAGAACACTAGCTAAAAGCTAAAATAAACAGAATGCCAGCTAAAATCTAAAAGTAGCAAACTGTTATTTAAAAAGTCAAAAGTAGCTGAATATTAGCTTGAAGCCAAAAGTGCTAAACGTTGGGTAAAAGCTAAAAGTAGCAAAGGCTAAGTATAAAATAAAAGTACAAAAGGAAAGCTGAAAGTAGCTAAAAATAGTAAAACATCAGCTTAAATATAATTATAATCTAAAGTGTAAGTATCAAAATATTATTTAACAGCCAAAAGTAGAAAAATACTAGCTTAAAGCTAATAGTATCAAAGACCAGGTAAAAAATGAAAATGCATAAGGATAGCTGAAAGTAGCTAAAAGTATTATAACATGAACTTAAAGTAGCAAAAGGCTTGTTAAAGTAGCAAAATATCAGGTAAGCTACATTGAGCAGAAAGCTAGCTAAAAGCTAAAATGCCCAGAAGATAAGCTAAAAGCTAAAGAAGCAGAACACTAAAGCTAAAATAAACAGAACGCTAGCTAAAATCTGAAAGTAGCAAAATACTGTCTTAAAACTAAAAACGGCAAAAACTAGGTAGAAAACGAAAGCGCAAAATAATAGCTGAAAGCAGCTAAAATAGCAAAATATCATGTAAAACTAAACTGAGCAGAACATTAGCTAAAAGCTGAAGAAGCAGAACACTATCTAAAGCTAAAATAAACGATGCTAGCTAAAATACAAAAGTAGCAAAATGCTATCTTAAAGCCAAAAGTGCAAAGCATTAGATAATAGCTAAAAGTAGTGAAAGGCTATCTCAAAGCTAAAAATAGCTAAAGAATAGCTAGAAGCAAAAAAAGAAAAAAAAAAGTAGTAAAATATTGCTAATGCTAAAAAAGCTAAACTCTAAAGCTGGTAGCTGCTTCTGCACCTTCAGAGTTTTAATTTCTTCATGTTCTACTGATGAACCAGACATGTCTTCAGCTTTTCTCGTCTGTTCAGTTTCTGCTTCTCTTCATCGCAGCTGCTTTTTTACAGCCCAGTTTGTTCAGCTAGTTTATTTTTTCCAGTAACTCAAACATTCATCCATAAAGATGTGACCTAAACTGACGTATTGCAGCGCAGCTGGGCAGCAGACCAACAACTGGGCTGCACAGGCTGAAGCCGGAGCTGCAGGAGCGTTTGGCGTGAGCCGCTGTTTCACCTCATCTGTTCTGGATTGAGCCAAACATTTGTAATAAATAAATAAACAAATGCTCAAGAGCTCCATTAATCAGGTGATTAGCCTGAGAGGCAAAATTCAGGGCAGCAAAACATCTTCATTTTTCATTTCTGCCTCTATTTGTTTTTTCTGAACAAAGATTTGTGACAGAAAATCACTTGAACAAAAACAACAAAGTGAAGATCTGCTTCACAGCCGTCCGCTCTTGGCCCAGAACGAGTTTCCTCTGAAAGTCCTGACGCGGCTCTCAGACCTCCTAATGGACGACCACTCGAGCCTTAAAAGCTGTTCGACAGAAAGACGCCCTGAATTTATGGAGCTTCTCTCACTTTAGACACGTCGGATCAGAAACCAGGGTTTCTGTTGTCGCCCGCCACCAAAACAGCAGGCGACAATGTTTTTGTCAGGTGATATGTTGCATTTAATGTCCAGAACCTGGTCCAGTTGTTAAAGATGTCAGCTGCTGTGTCGAGTTTAAAAAGTAAACATTTATTAGAAACTGAAACTAACTCGTCCTCGTCTCTCAGGTAAGGATGGTTGTTACCTGTCCTGATTGGTCCGTTTGCTGAGTCATCAGTTCACCTGTAACCAGAGCCTGTGGGCGTCTCCATCCACAGCTGCACGATGGTACAGCACACACACACACACACACACACACACACACACACACACACACAGCTGATGAAACTCGCCGCAGCCTCGGTAACGGGCCTTTGTTCTGTCTGCAGACCGGATGATGTCGGAGAGCAGCCGCTATGGCCTGCAGCGGCGGTCAGAGCAACGCCGAAACGCTGGAGGGCTTCCAGGAGGTGAACTTGGCCTCGCCCACCACACCTGACCTTCAGGTAACTAAACCCTCACCCGTTTCTTTACACTGGTAGAATAAAACTTCACAGCTGTAGTCCATCTTGGTCTCTTAACGGGACGTTCATTAGCCTTAGCCTCGTTAGGATGGGACCTTCAACACAACTTGTTAAACTGGAGAGAAAACGTTTTCTGGGGTACTTCAGTTTGAACGCTGAACGACTACTGACGTTTGCTGAAACTGAGGGGTTAAAGCTAAAGGACAAGCAGAATGCCAAAAGTAGCTAAATGCTAGTTAAAAGTAATGAATGGGAACCAAATGTGGCAAAACAAAAGCTAAAAGCTAGAAGTAGCAAAAGGCTACTTCTAGTCAAAATCGCAAAACGAGTGAAAAGCAAACTGTAGTAATAATCTAGCTAAATGCTAATTGTAGCAAAAGGCTACCAAAATGCTAACTTTAGCTAGATGCTATCTAGATGCTAACTATAGCAAGAGGCTATCTAGATGCTAACTGTAGCAAAATGCTACCTAGACACTAACCATAGCAAAAGGCTACCTACCTAGATGCTTTAATTGTAAATGGACTGTACTTATTTAGCACCCTTCTAGCTTATCAAGATACTCAAAGCGCTTTACACTACAAACTGTAGCAAAAGGCTACCTAGATGCTAACTGTAGCAAAAGACTACCTATATGCTAACTGTAGCATAATGCTACCTATATGCTAACTGTAACAAAAGGCTACCTAGATGCTAATTGTATCAAGAGGCTACCTGAATGCTAACTGTAGCATAATGCTACTTATATGCTAACTGTAGCATAATGCTACTTATATGCTAACTGTAGCAAAAGGCTACCTAGATGCTAATTGTATCAAGAGGCTACCTGAATGCTAACTGTAGCGAAACGCTATTTAAATTCTAACTGTAGCAAAACCTCCCTAAATGCTAAATGTAAGAAAAGGTTAACTAAAATTAAAAAATTCAAAATGCTAGAATATCGAAGTCACAGAAGGCTAATAAGTAAAAGCAGAAAATTATTTGCTTAAAGTAGCAAAAGGATAGCTAAAGCTAAACATTGTAAACTGTTAGCTAAATGTTGCAAAACACAACTTAACAGCTAGAAGAAGCAAAAGGCTACCTAAATGCTAACTGTAGCAAAAAGTTAGCTAGAAACCTAAAGTAGCAAAATGCTAGCTAGAAGCAAAAGTTCATAAATAGCCTAAAGCAGCAAATGGTGAACTGAAAATGGCTAAAGGCTGGCTAAAAGTATCAAAGGGATAGCTTAAAGTTAAAAATAGCAAAAGAGGACTAAAAAAGTCGTTTTGCTGAAGCAGATTTTAAATAGAAATGTTTTTGAACTAATTTAAATAAGAAACGGCGTCACTCTGCTCTTGCTTGAGCTTTGAATGTTTAAAAAAAAACAATTGCAAGACAGAGTTCCTCATCAGTGAGCAGCGTAAAACAAAATATTTAATTTAAATTTATTGATAAGGATGATGAACCCCAAAATGTCATTAGTTTAGAAACACCATCACAAACCTACAGGTGAGGAGGAATTTGACCTTTTCCACAATAATTCCACATAACAAGTGGAGGCGAGTGGTGGCGCAGAGGTTAGAGAAGGTGGGCCTGTGATCGGAAGATCGCTGGTTCAACTCCCAGTACCGACAACATCAAAATGTGGGAGGGATAGGTGAAGCACCCACACCTGCCTCCACCCTCATGTGCCCCACTCTGGGCCCTTGAGCAAGGCACTTAACCCCCACCATCTGCTCCCCCGACGCCCCTGATAGCAGCTCTCTGCTCCACACAGAGGCTGTGGTAGCTCGGTGCCTGTGGTTGTGTCAGGAAGAACATCTGGCGTAAAAACAATCGCCGAGTCTTCGTGCGACTTGGTTCACTGTGGCGACCCCTGAAGAGCAGCCGAAAGAAAAAATTAATAAGTGGAGGCATCAGTCCCAGAAACGTCGGCTCTTGTTTACCTTCATTTTAGTGACTTCCTGTTTGTTCTTCGTGCGTTCTTCTGTCGTCAGTGGAGCTCCTGCGCCGTCTTCATGATGTAAAATGTGACGGCACGATCAGAAGGGACGTTCCCTGTTGGAGTTCAGCTTGAATGTTTTGAATGTTTCGTTCTTTTTCTTCTTTGTACTTCGATCAGCCTGGGGTCGCATTTTGTCTGGCGTCCATGTCTTGGGAGGTTGACCACAGTCCCATGAAGCTTTTGGTTTTAGCTGCTTTTTTTTTTAGTCTAGATGCTGGCTGAACTTTGACGGACCTGGGTTTGTTTGTGTTCTACAGAACCAAGCAGAGCAGCGCCCCCCGGCCCGTCACAGTGCCCCGCCCACCACTCTGTATCGCACCCACTCCCTGGGTCCGCCCCCACCCGGCCTCCACACCTCCCTGCGTGCGGACCAGCTCCCCACTCAGCCGGTGTACTCCGCACCGCGGCACAACCACAATGGGAGGTAAAGAAGCCGAAAACAACAGACCAGCTTTCTGTCGCTCAGTAATCCAACCTCACTGTGTTTGCAGCGTGCCCGGCTTGGAGGCGGAGTCAACCGATGGTGGCGTCCCGTCTGCGGAGGACGGCGAGGAGTGCGGCGCTCTGAGCGACAGCCTGTCGCGGCTTCGGAGCCCGTCGGTGATGGAAGTCAGAGAGAAAGGATACGAGAGGCTGAAGGAGGAGCTGGCCAAGGCTCAGAGGGTAGGAGGCGGCTACATCAGCTAACCATGAAGGGGGAGGAGTCCCGGCTCCTCGGCTGTTATTGGAGGAGTGTGTGTGCGTGTGTGTGCAGACGTGTCATCACTCGTGTTTTATTTAAATTTGGTTTTTTGTGCTCATTTCTTATGATTTAAGATAAAACTGGTTTGTCTCGACCTCGTCACAGATTTTATTTCTCCACCTCCTTCTGTTTTTTGGCCACGCTGTGATTTTTACCTGCATGTGTTTATTTTTCATTTGTTTTTCTGTTTGTGTACGTGTGTGTGTGTGCGTGCGTGTGTGTGTAAGGAGCTGCTGTTGAAGGATGAGGAGTGTGAGAGGTTGTCTAAAGTCAGAGATCAGCTCGGCCAGGAGCTTGAGGAGCTCACCGCCAGTCTCTTCCAGGTCGGTCCGCCTCTCGTCGCCTCCACTTCCTGTTTCCTTTCCTTCTCGACGGCAGCCAGACACAAACCAGACAGACGAAATATTAATTATTTAAATGTTTTGGCTGCGTGATGATGCAAGAATTCTTAATTTAGAGAAAAAAAAGTTTATTTTTGTTTGTTTCTGTGTCCTTATTTAGTTTTTATTCTCATCCCTTCATGAAATCTTCAGCATTAAGAATCGACTTCTTCCAAACAGACTTTGGGTGTTTTTTTTTCCCACTTTGTTTCAGTCCCTGAACCTGACGTGATGTCCTGAAATAATTTTCTTATTCAGGCATATGGAGCAGAGTCGTAACAAACAGTTGAAAGTGTAAACTCTTTGTTCCCGTGTCTTTGAGGGGGTGTCTCACTGGACTGCGACTACTTGGCAAACATTGTCCCTGAGATTCCAGAGGGTCTTGTGATTTTCGAGAGTCCTCGACTTCTCTTGTGTCACAGAGGCGTCCTGCTGCTTCAGTTTTAACCTCGTCGAAAAAAATACGTGCCACAACTTTCCATTCAAAATTCTCACAACTTTGTTGTGGACGTCTCGAACTTGTCTCGAACTTGTCTCGAACTCGTCTCGAACTCGTCTCGAACTCGTCTCGAACTCGTCTCGAGCGCTACAGCTTCTTTTGACTTTTCAGCAGAGAACAAGAAACATCCAAGACAAAAGTCCAGGTCTAAAAACCACACTGATAGTGTATTTTTTTATAAACTCCATCAGATTAAGTCTTAAACTTGCAGTCGGCTGCCACGGTGGGTACAAAACGAGCCAAGGTGGTCAATAAAATAATGTGCACTGGCAAGAATACAGTTTATTTATTTATTTTTACCTGTGCCCACAAAAAACAGCCTTTATTTTCAAAATTGCAACCACGTGGCTCGGTGGTCACTTGGTCGCAAAAAGACAAAAACAGGAAATTCACGTATCTTCCTGCATTTTTGAGTTGCCAGTTAGTGTCCGACAGTCGTACACGAATCATTACAAAGTAAAACAAGATGACTCAGTTTGACAGAAAATAGGATTTCATCTCCACAATATGATTCCCTAATAGCCGTTAGCAGAGAAGCTGGTTTATTTGAGGAACTAAACAATTGGAGGACAAAATAATAATAAAAAAAAAAAACTCTTCAGCAGAAGAACTGAATCTGAAACGTATTTTAAGACCTTGTCTCATTGGGCTGCAACTGTTGGTGAAATAATGTGAACAAGATCTGAAAATGTTTACAAGGGTTCCCAGTTTCCTCAGGTGTTCCGCAGGGCCGTAATCTTGTGTCCCAAAAATTATGAGCAACTTTGAAAAACTGGCAAACCAAACTTTCTCTGAATGTTTTAGAGTTGTGGGTTTGCTGAAACTGGTTTTTAGACCTGTCACAATAAACAATAAATCAATTAATCTCATAATAAATGAAAATGATCGACCTCATTTTCCTTTATCTTCTTTATTGTCTCTTCGTGTCTCTCTCTTTCTGAAGACACCGGATGACAAAAGGCTCAACTCCAGTGCTCTTCACTGACCCCTCCCTTTCTATTTATTCTTTAAAATCTGTTTTAACTGTCCAAAAATTGCAATTTTGGATTTTTGAAAGCAGCTAAGCTGAGAAGCTAAGCTACGAGCTAAGCTAACAGGCTGACCTTGGGAATAAACCTCCGTCTTATCGAAGCTCCAAAATTCACGGTTGAAACCCGTTCCTTCATGTAAAAAGTTGTTTTTCTCTGCAAAAAGAAGCTGAGAACTTGTTTACTGATTTTTTTAATTAAAAGCTTTGTGTGAAAAATGCTAAAGAGCTCAAACCACACCGAGCGTCCGCCATTTTGAGAACCGAAAAAAAGGAAAGAGAGACAGCCCATGTCACGTCAAGGGGCCTCCCTCCCATTTTTTTTGAAGACACACTGCTCGCTCCCTCACTATCCATCCTTTGGTTCAAACGGTCTTATACTGCCACTCAGTGGTCAAAAAAATTACTACACACAAATTTACCAACATTTCTTAAATTTGACAATAATTACTAATTATTTTCAAATTTCAAACAATATTATCATTTATTGCATTAATTTCTGAGACAATCGCCCAGCAACATTTGTTGTCGAGAAAGGCCTACCGGTTTTAAACTTTTCTCATTTTAGTTCTGAAGAAGTTTGTGACCATTTTGAAACTAAATTGTGACAGATTGAAGTTAAACAGGAGTGAAATTGCAGGTGCCCTGGGAGCATGAGAAAATAAAAAATAAATTGGAATGATTAATTAATAATAATTAATAATCTGTGTGGCTGAATAGCAACAAAATAAACAATATTTATGCATGTTTTTTCTGAATTTTGGCCCAAATGCTGTCTAAAAAAAACAATACCTTCTGAAAGTGTTTGTGTTTTTTAATGATTTAAGTCCCAACTCGTCACGCCACATCCCAGTGAGATACAGGAAACCAGAACAACTCCATCAGAACCTGAGACATGAGTAATCGTTCTGTCTGTAAAATGTGTTTCCAGTTAAATTTCAAAGTAAAAGTAGAAATCTTTAAAAGAACCACAAATTTTGAACAAAAAACATAAACGTTGATGGATTCAGAGTCCATTTTAAAAAGAAAAATATATATTTATGAATAAACGCATTTTGTGCGGTTTGTTCAGGATTCAGGCTGAATCTGATCTCATGCTTCGTCTCTTTCTTTCTAAGGTGTTGGGGCTTTGTGTTTGAATTCTTCTGTATTCGGTAAAAAACGTTTAGTGAATCAAGCAGCTGCTCTGGAACCTACACGAGACCGAGCTCGACTTTTCTTCTTAAATGTGAATTTAAACTCGTTCAGAATCCAGTTTGTAAGAATGTCACGCCTGTTTTCCAGGAGGCCCATAAAATGGTGAAAGAAGCCAATGTCAAACAGGCGACGGCTGAAAAGCAGCTAAAAGAAGCTCTGGGCAAGGTGAGAATAATAAAACCTCACAGCTGATTTAATCTTCCAGATTATCTTGGATTTTAACCTGAGTAGGAGGTTTCTGAGTGATGAAGCTCTGATTTGAGGATTCAGACTTGAAGCTGGTTTCAGTAAAACTGCAGAGGTGTCAAGAACTTCTGGTTTCTGCTGCAGGAGAAACATTTTCTGAAAAATGCAGAAATAAAACAAACATAAAAACAGACAAATCTTCATGGATTAAATTTAGATTGAATATTTATTGATACAAACTTACATTTAGATGTTTCTACTTTGTTAGACTGGTACAGGTCATGTATGAGGACAGCAGGTCATGTATGAGGACAGCAGGTCATGTATGAGGAC